GGTGAGGTAATATCGTTTATTGGACCAACTTTTGCTGGTGAGAGGGACAAGCATTTGCGCTTACACGGGGCTTCTCAAATGTTTGTCTATCTCACCAGCAGAAATTGGTCCAGTAAATGATACTCCTTTATCCACCTTGTATCTTTAATATCCTGGGTCCAACACAACTACCCCACCACTGCCCAGGTTGTCTAGGTGCAGTTTTGTATTGATTGTGAAGTCTAGCCTCCTACTGGTGGGATCCCTGACTGCAGTGGCTGATGGTTCTGAGTGGACTGCTGCTGCTGCTGTACTTCCACCACTTTGTTGGTGGTTTAAACTTCTTCACACCCTGTGTGCATGTGTTAACACATCTGGCTGTTGGACATCAGGATTCCTACTTAGCAGAGGAGTAGCTGAAGCCCATTTTGTCACAACTACTGATATCCCTTCCAGAGGCAAAAAGAAGACCCAGAGATGTCAAGTATAGGTGTAATTTTGGTACAGAGCGGTGAGGAGAACTTTCAGTAATTTTTTTTGCATGGGTTAAAACTACCTTTCAAGTCTTTCTGGAAAGTAATTGTCCTCGTGGAAACTTGCTTCTCTTGTATTTTAGGAATGAGATTGATAGGGATTCAATATAGCTGCATAAAACCAATAGATCATCATACTTACCTGCAAGAAATCATGGGGAACTTGCAACGTTGCACAGTTGCCAATGCCATTAAGAAGAGCTAACACAAAAAACTACAGGTGGGAGAGGGGGTGCGATACACTTGTGAGCTCCTTTGAAGTACAGTGGCTCAGGGGAGCTTTTAATAAATAAGAGTTTTGACAATGGCAGACACATTGCTTAAAAAACCCCACCTCTCCTTCTTTCATAGTTATTTGCAGTGTTGTTGTAGCCATGTCTGTCGCAGTGTATCAGAGAGACAAGGCAGGTGCGTGAGGCAATATCATGTATCCGACCAACTGCTGTTGGTGAAAGAGAGGAGCTAGTATCCTAGTGCCAGTAGCACACCCTGTCTAGGATTGCTAAGGTACCAAGCCACACAGCCCCAAGGAACTTTGCGGAAAGCCCCTTTGGAACGAGGGTCCTTCCCGTTTTGGGGTGGCTTTTAACCAGTGACTCCCACTGTCAACCCGGGAGCCAGCAGGCACCGAGCCTTGGGGGCTCGCGAGCTTCCGCCCGGGGATACTTAAAATAGCCCCGCCCACTCTCGGGCTATAAGCGGCTCCCGCCACTGCAATGGAGCAGGGAGCCGGCCAAGCAGCTGCTATTTTTGGCGCAGCCGGCTGGTTGCGTCAATAGCGGCGTCCCCTTGCGTCACGCGCCGCCCCGCCCAACTCTCACTTTTTCCCTTTCGTTCGCTTCAGCCCACGGGCGGCGGCTGACGCTACTGCGCTCATGCTAATGAGCCGCCCCCCCCACCCCCCGTCTGCGGCTAGCCCAGGCTGCCGCCGCCGTAGAGCTTAAGGTGGCTGCCTCAGGTTCCCCCCGCTCGGCGCGCCTGGGGCTATTTATAGCGCTGCCAAACATAGCTCCCGTGACGGCCAAGGGGAAGGGGGCCCCCAGCGCAGACACGCGTCCTGGCTGCAAAGAGGGCTAGAGGGGCTGTAGCAGGGCAAGCGCCTTCCCGCTGATGAGAGGCGGATAAAGCCATCCACAGGGAGCTGCTTCCCTGCACCGTGGCCGTCAGGTTAATAGAGCTTTGAACCCCGGTACAGGGAGGTCAGATGCTGCAGTCGTCCGGGGAACCAGGATAGATGAGGTGCTTCTCTGGAGCGTGACTAAAACCCCACAGGGCAGGGGCTGGGCGGGGACACCCGGACTGTCTCCGGAGGGGCCATGCCCTGCAGGGAAAGGGGATAAAACATAAAGCACAGGTCATACCCTCAAGTCGAGAGCCAGCTTTCCTCCGGCACAAGGGGAGGTGGGGGCAGGTGTGGCTCTTGCTGGGTCCCTATAATTGTTCCTGTTACGTACGGGCAAGTACTTCTCTTCTTAGCAGGCATTTTCTGCGCGCCTTCCCTTCCTTTCTGTGAGCTGGAGTGCCCACTCCGAGCCTATTTCAGTGGATTAGCATGCAAAGCAGAGACAAGGCTGTGTGACAGCTTCTAGTATTACCCTGGTCTGAGTAAAGGGCACCCCCACCGTCACCCTTGCTCTGCACTTTTTCTCTCAGTAGAGCACAGAGGTATTGACAGCCATACTTTTACATTGCATAAGTTAAAGTATAATGCGTATAACTCCGTACAATCGGGTTCTTTATTCCCCGCGTACGGAAAGAGACGGTGTCCGCGGCGGGACAGGAACCTTCCTCCCAAAACAAACATTTATTTCCAACGCCTTTAATTGGCACTTTTAAGTGGTGCTGTGGGATGTAAACCAACCGCCCCACCACCTTTCCTGACAATTGGACAACTTGTTGCGTGAAGCTGTATGGTTTTGAGAGAAGGATGATTTCAAGGCACCGGCGGACTCCGATTTTATACGGTGACGATTGCTCTGCGCCGCGTAATAAAACATTCTATCAAACATACCTGGAGACAGTGAATCTGGTGCTAACAGGCGCTGCTGTTTGTTTTTTGGGGGAAAGAGGGGGTCCTCATTTCTAGCCTGTAGAAAATGCCTCCATGGGTCACAAAGAAGGGGAAAAAACTGTATCTAGAAAATGCATGAAAGTAGCGATGTCCGTATGTATGTACGTATGCAAGAAAAATCCCCGTACCGTACTGTGGTATAGACACACAACTTAGCAGACCCCACGCAGGCAGAGCAGCACACGTTATTATACAGTGTGCCTGCGTGCGGAGAGCCGCAGAGAGATCCTCTAGGGTTTATGACACGGCGTGGGGGGTGGAGGGAATCTAGTTCTTTGTTTACAGTCTTGCACATCTAGGGGGGTGTACGTGCGGGGGGGTTGCACCTATTTTGGAAAAGCTGTAACAAGGTGAACCGAGGGAGCTTGTTCCCACCTTAAAATCTGCACTCTTGGTGATGTCACGTCGGAAATTTACCAAAGCAAGAACTGGCCAACTGTGCAGAGAGATCCAGCCCCTCGGATGGCTGATTGGGCGGGCAGCACTGACGTGCACTGACGCTTGGAGACTTTAGGTGCATGTTGGCTGTGGAATACGGAGCCCACATAAACAAAGGCACATTGGAGGGAAGGGCCAGTCTGTCCGGCTTGCTCGCACTGTGCTTTACTAGTACTGTACTTCCCAACAGAGAATAACTAGCAAGTGCTCTGTCATCGGTTGTTTTGTCCGCCGATCTGCCCTTGGGAAACTGTTGTTCAGACGGTTGAATGAATGAAAAAGACATTGCTAACAAGTGAGTATTGATTTTTGTAAAATTCCCCTATTTAATCTTGTCGTTGATTTACAGCCATCTGCAGGATGCCCTCAATCTTCAATATGGACTCCAGTGGAGGGGGCTGGGATGGTAGATGGAAATAGGAGGCGTTAAAATATTTTGTGTGTGGCTTTCAAATGCAACCTTTTTCCATACTGTATTTCCAAAATGTCAGTCAGTTAATTCATCACTCAGTGAGTCTCGGATCTGGTTCTGTAAAAGATGCTAACGTGAAATCAACTTTGGTGCAAGAATATGCCCCTGACTTTCTGCTATAACTTTCACCTGTTTGGGGGACATATGGTGTCGAAGTTGGGCTGTTAAGGTAAACGTGTGTAGCTGGGACCTGAACTTCCACGGTTACATAGCAGGAGAAAAGTTCTTCAGCGTATGTGTTGCTTGGGAACATTTTTCTCTCTCCATCTCCAGGGCTAGCAAGCGGTGCTGGTGTTATAGGCAGCTCTGTAGAGTTCTGTGGTATCCTATCACTTAGTTGCCTTTGATATGTATTGCTGCCGTGCGCGTGTTATAAGCTTGTGGGGGGTGGCTTGCAAGGCTACCTGCTTGTTTCATCTAGCGTAGTTATTCTTTTCGGCGGTGATCCTTCCCCTCCCCCCCCTTCTATTTACTTAGTGTTCACTGACCATCAACAAAGCAAGCCGTCATGCCAGGCGTTAATTAGCAGAACGCGGAAGAGAAAGCATGAATATTTGGATCAATTGGAGTTAGATTGAAGATGCGTAGTCGCTGTCTGTGGTATCAATGAAGTCTGGAGATTTTAGGGATGTTAGCGTGGTTTGTTTCACCCGGTAGGGTAAATATTAAGTTTGTGGTTGTACAACTGGTAATGTGTTACATGTGTAAGGTGTCACACTATGAAGCAAATAGTATTGGTGGGGGTTTAAAGTCACTCCTGCTTAAAGGAGCTGCGGGTTCTGTTTATTTCACATGTCCCCTTTTAACTTTAGTTGTGCATATTTACAAAACAAAGCGAAAATCTATTAGGCGGCGTTCATTTATTGTTAATTAAGATTTCCCTGGGTCAGTGCATCCACTAGAAGCATTTTACACCTCTGTTAACCAGGTTTCTTTCATCTAAAACTCCTTTGGCTTCTTTGATTGTCTAGTTACCTTATTTAGCGTGGTTTGTTGTCATTTATGCCCCTTTTTAGAGCTGTCGTTAAAAAGTCACATTTGGATTTTAGGGACTTTCAAGGGAAGGTGCAAAAATGTGCCTTCCCCCTTTTATTCTTCAATAAATGGACTCAGATGTTATTTGGGGAGGGGATAAGTGTTAAAAATCAAATCAATCCCCCCCCCCGTAGAAATAATAGAACCAAATAATAAAAAATAATAATGTAAATAACAACCTGCTTTTAGTAAGTTTTCTTCCCGATAATAACTCATTGGGGGAACTAGTTTATATGCCAAAATGCCATAAGGACAACATTTCATATTAGCTCTGACTAGCTCTTTTCTTAAACTATTTTAAATCTGATTTCTTTATTAAAAGGCCGCACAATGTCTCTTACTAAAACAGGCAAGCTTTGTCCTAGAGAAGCTCATGGTTTTGTGATACATTTGTTTCAAATGAATCCTTAGCAAATCTGAACATAAAGTCTATTGTGTCTGTTTCAGAGAGCGTACTGGGCAGTCTGGAGTCCTCACTGTTTTTCTAAAATCTTGGAAACTTTGTCTCCATTGAATTCCGACACTGTCCACCTTTAATTCCCTCGAAAACGCCTGTAACTCGGCTGAAGGTTTGTGAGCTTAATTTCTTTAATATTCAAAAGAAACAACTTCACACTGAAAGCCAAGTAACATAAGTAAGACACGTGCGTAGATGTGTTCCAAACAACTTCACATTGTGCAACTCACTTCATCGTGTTTCTTTACAAATGAACTAGCTGAAAATATCATTGTACACAGAAATAAAGCGACTGGTGCTCATTCGGTCTGTTTGTGGGGGACTGAAAGACATTTTGGGGGTACACTATGCACTTTAAACATTCACAAACATCAGAGCTCTATGTACTTTAGTGTAATCTCTTTTTTTCCCCCTGTGAACACGTTTTCTTTGCGCAATAAGAAGTGTGTGCGGCTTCCTAATGTGGCCCGCAGTGTTGTAGAAAGCAGGTGTACAAAGCAGGGGAGAAAGTATGCAGTTGACCAGGCTGAGTATATATTACACTGTTTCATTTCCAGCCATGCCCTGTGTTCAGGCTCAGTATGGGTCATCGCCTCAAGGAGCCAGCCCAGCTTCCCAGAGCTACAGTTACCACTCTTCAGGAGAATACAGCTCCGATTTCTTAACTCCAGAGTTTGTCAAGTTTAGCATGGACCTCACCAACACTGAAATCACTGCCACCACTTCTCTCCCCAGCTTCAGTACCTTTATGGACAACTACAGCACAAGCTACGACGTGAAGCCACCTTGCTTGTACCAAATGCCCCTGTCCGGACAGCAGTCCTCTATTAAAGTGGAAGACATTCAGATGCACAGCTACCAGCAACACAACCACCTCCCCCCTCAGTCGGAGGAGATGATGCCTCATTCTGGCTCCGTTTACTACAAGCCTTCGTCGCCCCCGACTCCCACCACCCCCGGCTTCCAGGTGCAGCACAACCCCATGTGGGACGACCCTGGCTCCCTCCACAACTTCCACCAGAATTACGTGGCCACCACCCACATGATCGAGCAGAGGAAAACGCCTGTGTCCAGGCTCTCCTTATTCTCATTTAAGCAATCACCCCCAGGAACCCCAGTGTCCAGTTGCCAGATGCGATTTGACGGGCCCCTCCACGTGCCCATGAACCCCGAGCCATCCGGGGCCCACCATGTAGTCGATGGCCAGACATTTGCAGTGCCCAATCCCATCCGCAAACAGGCATCCATGGGCTTCCCAGGGCTACAGATTGGCCATGCTTCCCAGCTGCTGGACACCCAGGTGCCATCCCCTCCCTCCCGGGGGTCTCCATCCAACGAGGGCCTCTGTGCAGTGTGCGGGGACAACGCGGCCTGCCAGCACTACGGAGTGCGCACCTGTGAGGGCTGCAAAGGGTTCTTCAAGGTGAGCTGGAGGTGCTGAGAGCGCGTGGGGAGGGTTGGGGAAAGGGTTAGTTCACAAACTCCAAAGGGATCCCCCCTCCTGCGCTCACCCACACAAATGCAAAGCAACAGCCTGGCCAAAGAGCTCAGGCGCAGATCCCACTGGGAGGGAGGGGAGAACCGCAACCACAGAAGGAGCAGCAGGACAGGAGAGCAAATGTTTGCAAATAACAGCGCCTTGTGCTCCTCTAAGCCCGAGGTCGTTTTTTGCAAAACTCCCCGCTGCAATGGGCCAAGACACACTGAGGTCCTTGGTGCCGGCCCCAAATGGCTGCAGGTCCTTGGCAAGAAGTTGCGTGCATGAGTTGAACAGGAGGCATTTGCATGTGCTAGAAGCTGCCTTCCCCTTCAGATTGAAATTGGTTAGGACAGAGAACCGTGTCTAAGCTAACCAAGTGGAACAGAATTCCCTATGGTAAAATTAAGTGATCTCTTTATTTCACCATCCTGATTGAATAATCTTATCATTTTAAATAGAGAAGGTCTCCAAGGAATGTAAATAATATGAATGCCCACGGATTTGTATTTACTGAGCGTCTCCTTCTCCTTCTCTTGGCATATAAAACACTGCTAGGAGCTGCAAGGTTAGCTCAAATGTTAACGCTATCAATTTTCTTCTGTTAAATGCCCTGGAAAAAAAAAAGGGAGGGGAGGGGGGAATCCCAGCCATGCAGACACTTTAACTTGATCAGTTGGGGGCTGCAGAATTTAATGGAAAGTAACAAATAATTTGTCATTTCCTTCTCTCTGTGTAGCGCACTGTCCAGAAAAACGCAAAATACGTGTGTTTAGCAAATAAAAACTGCCCAGTTGACAAACGCCGCAGAAATCGCTGTCAGTATTGTCGGTTTCAAAAGTGCCTTGCAGTTGGCATGGTCAAAGAAGGTAGGTCTTCAGCGACCCCCGGATACACCCTCTCCTTTCCTCTCAGATATACCCTCCCCCACACATACTTTCTGTTCCCTCTCCGCCCACCCCAGAATTTCTTTGTGTCAGGCCTCAGCTGGGAGAATGATCTCTGATTCCCTGAGAGCCATACAGATTTTTATTTAAATAGGATCCCCTTGGAATAAGACATAAAATAAAGCAGCATTTTTTACCCTTCTCGGGTGTAGCTCTTTGCAGCCTTGGCGATGTATACACACGAGGCCTAGGTACCTTTAGCGGAGGGGGGGAGGGGGCTGTGTGTTTCACTCTCGTGTGTTATATGTGAGGGGAAGGAACGCTGAACATCCTTTTCTTTCGCAGTGGTTCGCACAGACAGTTTAAAAGGCCGAAGGGGTCGCTTACCATCCAAACCGAAGAGCCCCCAGGAGCCCTCTCCCCCCTCTCCCCCGGTGAGTCTGATCAGTGCCCTGGTGAGAGCCCATGTCGACTCCAACCCGGCTATGAGCAGCCTGGACTATTCCAGGGTAAGCTGGAGACAATATTAACATACAGACATAGCTGCAAACACGCACACACATGCCCATATGCAGAGAGAGAGAGAGAGAGAGACTAGTAACCAACCCCCCTTCACTCACTACACACTGCAGATGTCGGTCCCATTTGTTCCACAGAGTTTCGGGACTCTCGTGACATTGTCACGCACTCCTGTATACTCTGAGCACGTGCTTTTCAGCTTCTACACACCCAAGTGCTGGTAGTCGATGCACTGAGTAGTGATCCTGGGGCAAACTGGACTGGGAGTGAGGCAGGAGCATAGCAAGAATATTGTGTGTTATTCCAGCTGCGCGGAAATATAGGAGCTAATGAAAGGGGGGTTATTAAAATACATACAGTGCTATAATTTTTATTAAGGGGTTACCAGGCTTTCCAGGAGGCTAACACCGGGACTGGCATGAATACTAACTTGCTAATTGTGTTGTGTAGATAAGAGTGAACGCTTCTCAATGCAGGGTGACCCTCTGTTTAGTCTGTATAGAAATGGCAATTTACATATTCAAAGCAACGACCTCATAGCACCATCCTTAATTGAATTAATTGCCCTGGAACATCTAATTTCCTTACTGGTCAGAGAGAGGTTTAATTGTTATAAAAACCTGGCTCCCCTACTAGAAATGGGGTTAGCAATTTCACGGGTTATATATTTTAGAGAACCTCATTAAGTGCTTTTTAAAATGAAATTCCAGTTCCAGGCTAACCCTGACTACCAGATGAGTGGAGATGACACTCAGCATATCCAGCAGTTTTATGATCTCTTGACCGGCTCCATGGAGATCATCCGAGGATGGGCAGAAAAAATCCCTGGTTTCACTGACCTCTCTAAACCAGACCAGGACCTCCTCTTCGAATCCGCTTTCTTGGAACTGTTTGTGCTGCGGCTAGCATACAGGTAAATGTCCAAAATTCAAAAGGCAACTTCTGGATTATTATGAAATCAAATCCTTTCATGGTCCACTGATCTGCGTTTTATTAACTCCTGGGTAATTAGGTGCCTCTTAAATCCTCCATTTATTGCTCTTCGCGTAATTAGTTGTTTAGCTTATCTTTTATTTTCCCCCCTTTTCTCTTTCTCGCCTCCCCCCCACCCCCTGTTGTATTAATTGCAGGTCCAGCCCAGTGGAGGGCAAGCTTATCTTTTGCAATGGGGTGGTCCTGCACAGGTTGCAATGTGTCCGTGGCTTTGGAGAATGGATTGATTCCATTGTTGAATTCTCCTCCAACTTGCAAAATATGAACATCGACATATCTGCCTTCTCATGCATCGCTGCCCTGGCTATGGTAACAGGTCAGTACAGCTCTACCTTCTTGTGTTCGGTGTTTCAACAACACTACACAGACCATTTGCCCTGTTCTGGTATCCACATTGTCAAACCTGTGATGTCCTGCATCCTTGTCTTTTGCAGAGAGGCACGGGCTAAAGGAACCCAAGAGGGTGGAAGAACTTCAGAACAAGATTGTAAATTGTCTCAAAGACCATGTGACTTTCAATAACGGAGGTTTGAATCGCCCCAATTATTTGTCCAAACTCTTGGGGAAGCTCCCTGAACTTCGCACCCTTTGCACACAGGGGCTGCAACGCATTTTCTACCTGAAACTAGAAGATTTGGTGCCACCTCCAGCAATAATCGACAAACTTTTTCTGGACACTTTACCTTTTTAAGACTCTTCCCATGCACTTAAAGTGAACTTTAAAGAAAATAAACTCGACCTGTCTGAAGGGGAATTCACCTGTGCGCAAAGCAGCACCTTTGGGTGCCAGATTCCCATCCCCAAAACTGTTGCTAACCTCTTGAAGGCAGAACGTGAATGGGCATTTTGGCTCTGGGGCATCAAGGATTCAGATGATGGACAACTTAAATACCATGGTATAAGCTTTTTATTATCGGCTCAAAATATTAAGAAGGACTTCTGATTAAAAAGACGATCATATTTGGCAACGCCGGGCTAAGACTCTCATGATGACAAAGTATTAAGGTGACCCACAAGTCTCACCCTCTTAAAGACTAAAGTTTTCTGATGTAAAAGAAAGCTGTAATATATACTGAAAACTAAATGTTGCGTGGGTGGCATGAAATTAAAGAAGGCAAAGACTTGTAAATTTATCAGATGCATTTTGGCTTTTTAAATTATTCTGTGCCTATTTATGAATAAATATTAAAACCAATTCTAAAAGAAAGAACATAGATGTGTTTGCAAATAAAGAGAATTAAGTAACTCAGTGAAATGGGAAAGCATCATGATTCTAGGATGATAATGTTATAGGCACTTGCTATTTCAGTAATGTCTATATTCTATAAATAGTATTTCAGACACTATGTAGTCTGTTAGATTTTATAAAGATTGGTAGTTATCTAAGCTTCAAACATTTTCTCAATTGTAAAATAGGTGGGCACAAGTATTACAAAACCGAAATCTTGGACAAAGGGGCACATAGTGTTTGTAAACACCGTCCAACATTCCTTGTTTGTAAGTGTTGTATGTACTGTTGATGTTGATTAAAAAAAGTTTATATCTTGATTATTTTGTTGTCTAAAGCTAAACAAATCTTGCATGCAGCAGCTTTTGACTGTTTCCAGAGTGCTTATAATATATATAACTCCCTGGAAATTACTGAGCACTTTGAATTTTTTGTTTTGTTTTTTATGTCTAAAATTGTCGATTAATATATTATTTTATGTTTGAGTAATATTTTTAATATTGCCATATTCTGTAGTATTTTTCTTTGTATATTTCCAGTATGGCACATTATACAAGTCACTGCCTTTTTTTTCTATGGTGTATGACAGTTAGAGACGCTGATTTTTTTTCCTGATAAACTCTTTCTTTGAGGAAAGACAATTTTAATGTTTACAACAATAAAACCATGTAAACGAATAGAATTTCGTCTTCTTTCTGTCTAAGCGAGAAGTACCAATACCAAAATCCATTGCAGATAAAGAAAATTGACTGTGACGATATAGTAATAAAAAGTGAAAAGGAGAACGGATGAGCTGTGTCACTTATTTAATAATTTGTGGAGATGAATTTGCAAACTCTGAAGGAGGAGCAAGAGGAACACCTAAGACTAAAAGGTTGGTCCAGATTTTATTCTTAGGAGGTCCCTGTCCTTGTATTGAGTTCAACAACTACTTTTAATGGCATAGAAGTCATTTAAATCTTCGTGTATATTGTTTTTGTAAAAGCAAGGCACTTTTATGGATTCTATTTCCGAAATCCTGTACTGTAGCTCTTGGGGTCTATTTGGGATGGGGGAGAAGTAAAGGGGACAGACGCTGGTGACAGTCCCACAGACGTTGTTTTCTGAAGTCTGAAGATTTTTTTTAAAATGTGTTTAAATATTGTTTACATGAAAATATTTTCATTTTAGGGATCAGTGAAGCCTGGCTTAGAACACTTAGAGTTCTCTTTGAAGAAAGTGTCTGAATAAATAAGACGGGAATTGTCTGCTTTGACTCCGGCTTGCTATAAATAAGTTATGACGCAGTCACATATTTAGCGACTTTTAAAGTTTAAAGAAAATGAAAGCTAGAAAAGCTAATTTAACTGTTTAGAGTGACCCCAAGCCTCTTGTATTTCAGTGTGAGACTGAGAAATAGGTCTCTGTTTCATAGCTTTGAACGGTGCAGGCTGCAAATTGGTTCAGAAACAAAACATGGATTTGAGAAATTGTGAAACAATATAATGTATTTAAAATGTGGCTATTTGAATGATTAGCGCCGACATATTATATTTATGTGGTAAAATTTACAATGAAATGAAAGCTTTGGTATTATGTGCGGGGAATTGAGAAAACTTCAGTCTCTTATGTTAGGGAAGGAAAATGTATGTGGAGATGTATCCCGGAGACTATGCTGAAGTCTATTATTTTCAATTTGTTTTGAATATATTATTTGCAAAGTATAATAAAGAAAATGGATGGACAGATTAGGGAAAAGGAGATAAGACCAGTTTTCCGGGTTTCCAGAAAAGGGGATTTAGGAGCGAGAGATTCTCAATCTATTTTCAGAGTCCAGGAGCGTGGGAGGTAAAAGCCCAAGTCACAGCTAACAAACCTTATTAAAATAAGGAAATCTGCTGAGCCCCCGTAGTTAGCTAACTGGAGGCAAAGGAATGAGAAGGCGAGAGACAACGCAGGGGAAGTGCGAGTGTGTAGTTAGTTTAAACCTATTCCATCACAGTGTGCGGCTCAAAACTGCGTAGGTATCATCATCTAGTTATTTCACTTCTTACCTATTCAGGCTAACAGTGAATCCAGCTGATACCGCACTAGGATGTGCTGTACAGCGTACAACCCCGGTATCACTGAACTCCTGTCCCCGGGGCTGTACCGCAGCGACGCCCCGGGATCTTCATTGTCTTCTCTTCGGATACAGGCTCTCCGATTCCTCGCTTCACCCCACAGGCTGCGCTTGGGCTAAGGTGGGCAGAGGACTGTCCAGCTCCAGAGCGGAGAAGGGACAGGTCCTGTGTCCAGCTTGTCTGTTGTTTGTCCCTAAAGGGAGCAGGATCGGGGGCTCTCTGCGGTACAATCTGCTCTCCCAGTCTCTGATTCTTAAGCAATACAGGGGATGCAAAATCTTCCTAATGTCTCATCCCCCGTGTCTCTCCCCAACCCCAGCTGTTTGGGGCCAGGGAACTGAAAGTCTTTGAGCAGGAAGCTTCTGTCGCTGCGGATCAAACTTTTTTAAGTTAGTGCCCTGACCGATTCCTTAAGCAGAGAAAAGGCAAAGGATCAAAAGGGAGGGTCTCTATGATAGCCTCACGCAGTCCTCGAAATCCAAGCCGGAGTGAGGTTCTCCAAAGATACTCGAAACTTTCCAGGGCAGTGTTTAAGTTCGGGGTTATTTTATTTCTTATCCCCAAATGCACTGAAACAAACGCTGAAACTATACCCCCGTTGGGCCAAATTCTGTTCTCATGATGAAGTTACTTCGGATGTACCCAGGTGTACCTGTTTATAACGGAGTTACTCCGGCTTTACCCAGATGTGCATGATATCAGAATATAGCCCAATGCTTTAACAGATTAATGTTTCTCTAGGTAAATGTACAGATTATGCAGGATACACGTCAACAGAGGGACAATACTATTCATTTATGGAGACACCTATTGTTAAATCAATTTGGGAAGTAAAATTATTTTTATTTCCTGATGCTGATCGTCTCTCTTAGCATCTCCAAACTGATTTCCTCCGTTTCGTGCGCTTCTTCTGAAGGTCTTTACGCTTCTCATTCTCTGGCACGCCTCTACCGTGACTTTGCTTATATCAGTTACTTTAAATGTAAAGATGCTGTTATGTCAAGAACCACGTTTATATTTAGTTACGGACTCGCATCGGTCTGAAAGCTAGGGCACAAGGACGGAGCTTGTGTTTTTACAAGTGATGGAAGAATTCACTTGTGCCTGTGTGACTTATTTTCTCAGTTGCTGAACACAAATAGCTCAGCCTTCCCTTTTAGGTGCCTCCTGCACATCATTGAAGGACAATAAGTGGGTCTTGGGAGTTATTTTATATCTCTCTGTGTATCTAATACACGTAGCTTTCGAGAAGAGAGATCCATTGTCATATGAACACTTCATGTACACTTTATGTAAATACCTCTAAAAAGAGAGGATTACTTAGCTCCATAATATATAGCTCTGTGCACACAGTTAACAATTATGGGAAGAACTTTCTGTGTTTTCTGTGTTGTTATGGATTTCATGTTCCCAGGGAAGTTCTTTGAACTAAAGAAAAATCTCCAGTTAGCCCAAATATGCAGCGACTCTTTCACAGTGACCTTTCGTTGTTCACATACTCTCATCCACTCATACCCCTTAATCCAGAGCTCATCTGTTGCCTCTCTGGCATGGAGGCTGCCGAGCCAAAACCCTTTGCAACAAGGCCTAGCCTCTTCTGGGAAGCTGCAGACCTAATCACTTTCGGAGGTCAATAGGGGCAAAATATTGCCCCAGCAGGGGACAATATTCTGAGACAAAAACCAGAAGGTGAAGGGACAATATTTTGCAGCTTTTAGTTGATGTAATCTTATCTGTTGTTTTGCATGTGTGCATTGTTCTAAAATGATAGATCCTGGCTATATTCAGCACGTGAAATGCTTCCAATTCTTTACACAGCAAACACTCCTATTTTGTCAGAGCAGTTATTTGATCCTGAACTCTGATGGACCATTCCATTGTCACAGTCAATAGAGGGGTGCTGGGCATGTAATGAAAGGATACACAACAAATCTAACAGTTGCTCAAGGCCTAATGTGCTCCCCATCCAACAACCTAACAAATAATACCACGTGCAATAATGCCAGGGATGTATTTCTTTTTATTATATAATTTACTTTTTTGGTTCTCTGTGTGTGTGAGTTTTAAAGAAATCAGGTCAACGCCTTTGCACTTACCGGTGGTTATTGGCATATTGTAAACGTCACTCTTTGGTAGCTATTCGGAGTGCATGATTTGTTCTTAGTTCTATAATTGTATTTTGCAAATCATTTAGATAGAAAACAAAAATCCTAGTGTGATTCCTCATCCCCCCCAAACCCACATAACTGATAATACGTTTAAGATGATGAGGCAATACATCTTAGTGGCAATCTTTTAACATGTCATCAACCATTCGCATGCCTTAGCTCGAAGAGACCTCGATCTTGCTTCCATCGAAGGCAATGGCAACCATCTCATTTACTTTAAAGAGCGTAGGGTCTGCCCATAAATCGTTGATGTACCAGCGTGCCTGCAAGTGTGGCCGGACTTGTGAGCATGTGCGCTTCATTCTTTTGCCCTGTGGATGTTCCATCGCTTTCTGAACTAATTTTTCAGGCACTATCACAGATCTTAATAGTCAAATGAAGCCTTTCAGGCATTGAGAACGGAGGGAGAACTCAGGCTGTCTCTGGGACGGTACTCATCAGAAAGGAGGTGCCACACCTGTACGCATACATTTCCAGAAGCGTGAGTATACACACCAAGAGCGAAACTACATTTATTTTTCTGTTCGTTGTTTATAATACATCGTCACTGTGCAAACAGCATCGTTTCAGCCATGCCTATAGGTCATGTTGCTTCCACAGCAGCAGCTATGTCATATGTCACAATAACTCGGCTGGTTATTGCAACAGAATGGAAAGGATACTGGTTTGCCTGGCTTGGGAAGAGTTTCATCTTCTACTTAAGGCTTATTCTCTGTAAATACCCTTAAACAATCCGGAGGTCACTGACTTTAATGGGAATCCCAGGACTAAAACCCGGCGCACCATTTTGAAAATATAGGGGATAACCATCAGTCTCATTATAAAAGAAGCCAGGAAATTCAGGTTTCATCTTGAAATGCCGTCCTTACAACACATATGGGTCTCAGTTTTGTTCTTAGACAGATGGGGCTTATTGCCACATACTCTGTAAAATCAGCAGCTGCTTGTGCATGCATATGCACTAGATGGTTTTATGTATATGTGGCGACAGGCACCCACCTACTAGGAGCAAGTATAAAACAAATGCAATTACTCACGGTTCAAACACCCCTGCAATAAGGACAGGACGCTAAAGACGTGTAGGAATCTATTCTCCCCTGGGTACCACAAGGAACTTCCATTAAAGTGAATGGGAGTAATGCACACATTAAAGGGAGGATGCCATTTCAGGTTACTTCAGAGCAGTTGTTTGAATTTAAATGTTACATGC